TGATAAAAGAAAAACATGTTAACCACTGAAAATAAAAGTGGACCTCCTTCACTTGATTTTCTATTAAAAACCTACAGCAGATACATTTAATGGTGAATGTTGAAATGTTTTCTTTAAGATGAGGAACAAGGCAAGAATTCCTGTTACCATGGTGTCTGAGATTATACTGAAGTCCCTGGCTTGTGCTGTAGGGTAGGAAAAAGAAATGAAAGGCCAACATACTGGAAAGAAAGAAATGAAAATGTTTTCATTTACAGATGGCATTGTGTACAATGGAAACCCTGACGAATCTGCAGCTCTAATGATTGGATTTACGAAAGGTCAAGAGAGCTTGTTAGATGCTAGAACCAATTGTATTTTACACTCCTGCAACTAACAGGTAAAAAATGCAATCTGAAAAGACCATTTATTCATAGCATCAAACATACAAAGCATCTAGAAATAAATCTAAAAAACAAAGACTTGCAAGATTTATGGAGTGGGGGAGGGTATAGCTCAGTAGTAGAGTGCTTGCTTGGCATGCACGAGGTCCTGGGTTCAATCCTCAGTACCTCCATTAAAGAAATAAATAAATAAACCTAACTACCTCCTGCTCCCTCCAAAAAAAACAAGATATATGGAGAAAACTATCAGCTTCATTTGTCAAAAACAAATAAATGGAGAGGTTCATTGTATTCACACTCTGGAAGAGTCAAAATAAGAAAAGATGTTGGTTTTCCCTCTCTTTGGTTTATAGGTTCAAAGCAATTCCAATCAAAGTCCCAACAGGGTTTCTCAGTGGAACTCAACAACCTGAGAAAAAAATGAAGAATAACCCAGATATTCCTGAAGATGAGAGAGGGGGCTCATAATAATAATAATTAGCAAGGACTGGTATAAAAGGATAGATGGTCTCAGGCCAGAAGAGAGAGCCAGAACAAATCCTCAAGTAGGACAGAAATCCTGAAGTACAGCCTACATTATGGTTGGTCTGTGTCCACTATTAAGTCCACACATGTACAAAAACTTGCTTTGTGGCAGTTTCATTAAAGGTTGTTGGGATGATTGACTATCCACATGGAAGAAGTATGTAATTGGACTTTATCTCACTCCACACTCCCAAATCAGTTCCTCCAAGAGAGGTCGACTTGACTATAAATGATTAAAGTCTAAAAATGTAGAAGATGCTATGAGAATATATGATGCTGGAGCAGGAAATAATTCCTTAAACAAGACACGGTGGGCATTCATCACAAGAAAAAAATCTGTAACTATGTATGGTAATGGATGTTAACCAGACTTACTATGGTGAAAGTTTCAAAATATATACAAATATCAAATCATTATGTTGTGCACCTGAAACTAATAGAATGTTGCATGTCAATTATGCCTCAAAAAATAAAAGGCCACAGTGTGCGTACTGCAAACTGATTGATCAAGTTGAAGAACTTAAAATTAAATTAATAGATACGGAAAGCAGATTAGTTGTTGCTGGGGCAGTGGTGAGGAGGAATGAGGAGTGACTACTAATGGGGATAGTGTTTTCTTTTGCGGTGGTGGAAATGTTTAAAGATAGAAGTGGTGGTTGTACAACCCTGTGAATATACTAAATGTCACCAAATTGCACACTTTAAAATATATAAATGGTAAATTTTGTTATATGTGTTTTCAGCAATAAGAAAAAGGAATTTAAAATTAAGAGCTTCTCAGAAACTCCTGCTCAGGAGGTGAATTTCCTCCCCATGAGGGTGGGCTGGGCTTAGTGATTTGCTTACAAACAACACAGAAGGGAAAGGGAAAAATAATAACTTGACATGGATAAACTTGGGAGACAGCACCTTACTCAGGTCATCAAAATTAACATCCTCTGTGATGTCACATGGACATCAGGGACCTCTAGTATGAGGAGGAGGGAACCTCATCTCTGCGATCTTCCTCCCAAGCCCCATAACCCCAGCCTAATAATGAGAAAACATCAGATAAACCCAAATCAAGTGATTTTCTACAAAATACCTAGCTGGTACTCTTCAAAAGTATCAAGATTGTGAAAATCAAGGAAAGATTAAGAAACTCACAGAGAAGGAGACCAAGGAGATAAGATAATTAAATACAATACAGGATCCTGGATTGGATCCTGGACTAGAAAGAAAATGTTAGTGGGAAAACTGGAGAAATATAAAGTCTGCAATTTAAGTAATAGTAAGGGCCAATGTTAGTGTTTTAATTTTGACATATGTACCCTGTAACCATGTGTAAGATGTTAACATTAGGGGAAGCCTAGTGAAGGATAGATATATAAGAATGCTTTCTGCCTTTTATAACTCTGTACCTCTGTAACTTTTTTGTACACCTAAAATTTTTCCAAAATAAAAGTTTTTTTTAATTAAGCACTTCTGGTATGGAGATTCCTCAAAAAACTGAAAATAGACTTATCATATGATCCAGCAATTCCACTTTTGGATATATAGCCACAGGGAACTTAAATGCAAAAAAATACAGGCATCCCAATGTTCATAGCAGCACTATATAATAGCTAAGTCATGGAAGCAACCTAAGTGTCCATTGGCAGATGACTGGATAAAGATTTTGTGGTATATTTACACAATGGAATACTATTCTGCCATAAAAGGAATAAAATAATGCCATTTGCAGCAACATGGATGGACCTGGAGAATGTCATTCTAAGTGAAAAAAGCCAGAAAGAGAAAGAAAAATACTACATGATATCACTTCTACGTGGAAGCTAAAAAAAAAAAAGGACACTATGAATTCATCTATAAAACAGAAACAGACTCACAGACTTAGTAAATAAACATGGTTACCCAGGAAATGGGGTGGGAAGGGATAAATTTGGTAGTTTGATATTTACAAGTGTTAGCCACTATACAGAAAAATATATTTTAAAAAACTTTTTCTTTATAGCACAGGGAACTATGTTCAATATCTTGTAATAACCTCTAATGGAAAAAACATGTAAACAAATATATGCATGACTGGGATATTGTGCTGTACACCAGAGACTGACACATTGTAACTGATTGTACTTCAATTTTTAAAAATGAATAAATAAAATTAAGCACTTTTGTTCAGAGAATGACACCATGAATAGATTGAAAACAAACCACAAAATTGGAGATTTTTACAACACATGAAACCAACAAAGGGTTTGTATCTAACATGGATAAATAGCTATATAAATCAATAGAAAATGACAGTCACATTGTTCAAAAATGGATAAAAGACTAAAAGGCACTTCACCCTAAGAAGAAACCTAAAAATTACATAAAGTGTTCCATCTCATGAGCAATCAGGAAGCTAATCAAAACCAAAACCAAAAATACCCTCTCCCCTTTGGCACAATTCAAAAACCTGGAAAATTCAAAGTACTGGCAAGGAAATGGAGCAGCTGAATGCTTATGTAAATTGCTGAGGCCAAGTCAAAAAAACAGTTGATATAATTTCATGGAGCTGAGCATGTAGGTGTCCTATGATCCAGTCATTACTACTCATGTATATTAGCCTGTATTTCTTAGAATGGTTATAAAAGCCTTGTTTATAATTCCTGAATGGAAACAATTATAAAGTCCGCCAACTGGAAAATAAATAATCAAATATGTACTAATTCAAAGGAACACTATACAGCAGTGAAAAATACATGCATTACAGCTAACCACAGAAACTCCGATTAGTATCAGTAGAATCATGTTGAGCAAACAAAACAAGTTAAAAGAATGTGAAGGTTTTATTCTAGATTATGTAAAGTTCAAAACCACACAAAACTAAACAATGTTTTGTTTGCTGATAAGTATGTGGTAAAATTGTAACAAAAAGTAAGGCAATGAAAAACAAAATTTGGGGTAGTTCTTCCTTCAGAGGGAAAGGACAATAGATTGGGAAGGGACAGTGGCCTACAGGGTGTTCCACTATGATGGCAATGTTTTTCACTCAAGCCTGTCATCACTGCTCCTTATTCCTTACTATGGTTAATTGATAGGTGATAAAAAAATTTTAAAGCAATGAAAATCACAATGGTTAACATTATATATTACTATTCCAAGTGCTTTCAGATGTTAATTTATGTAATATCTCCTACAACTCTGTGAGGCAGGTCCTATTATCTCTGTTTTACAGATAGGGAACCTGAGGCAGAGTGGTCACATGACTTGCCCAAAGTCATGCCTGTGATTAGAGGCAGAGTTAGGTTTTGGACACAGGCCTCCCTTGTAACTAACTCCATATATGGCTTGTGTTTATGAGACTCTGCGTGTGTGCTGGGGGCAGGGGACTCTGTGGGGCTCAGCCTCTGGGACTGTTCTAGGTACTGGAGATATACAGTGAACAGGTTTGTAGGACATCAGCTCACATGGAACTGCCTGGTTAGATGTACAAGGAGGCGTAATGAGCAGAGCTGTGTTGGGGTCAGGGCCCAACCAGAGGAAGAGTTAGGGTGTGGGGGAGTCCTGAAAGGTGGAGTAAGGATTAGGTTTGAGGGAATCAGGTAAGGCTTTCTGGATGTTCAAACTGGGCATTGATGGATGAGTAGGAGTTTGCCAGTTACACAAGGGAGTGAAGAATGGAATCCAGTTCGAGTGTGTGCAAAGATCCACAGCCTGAGTGAAACAGAGACACAGAGGGAGACCAAGACAGGACTTTGTAGAGACAGAGAGGCTGGACATAGGCTCAGCGGGAGACACATGATCGAGAGAGACAGAGAGAGGAACAGAGAGACCCAGAGAGAGAAAGAGACAGAGAAACAGATGCAAGGAGACAGAGATGTATAGACAGAGGAACAGAGGTATTCAGGGAGAGCAGAGACAGCAAAGGACTCAAAATTGAGAGTCAAAGGAGAGACAAAAACACGCAGAACCAGAAGGGAACCTGCCTGGAAATCGCCCTCTGGTCCGGGAGCCGGGACTCAGCTCCGGCCCTTTAAACTCCACCCCCACCCCCAAGCTTGCGGCGCCCGCACCCCATCAGGCGTCGCTGGGCTCCGCCTTCCATCCACATCACTGCCACGTCAGGAGCTGTCCGCGCCCCTGGTGCTGAACCAAGATGGCCGGCGGCGGAGGCCGGGCCCCGGCGTGAACTGAACGCGGGCTGCAGCACCCGCCATGCCCCAGCCCAGCGGCCGCTAAAGCCCAACCTGACAGAGCCGGTCCGCCGGCGACCCCGGAGACATGTCTCTACTTTGCGTTGGAGGTAGGAGGCGAGACTGCGGGACGGGGAACCGGTGTGGACCCCGACTGGGCTCGGGGTCCGTGTGGACGCGGCTGGGCTCCTGAGGGGGTGACCCGAGTACATGCGGCTGGACTTTCGAGGGGGCAGCCCTTGTAGACGAGTCAGGGCGCCTGAGAGGGTGATCCGTGTAGACGCAGCTGGGCTCTGAGGGGGTCTTGGTTGCCGCTCCTGGGGGTCGTGTGGACACGGATGAACGCGGAGGCCCGTGTGGACGCGGGCAGGGATGTGGGACTCTGTCTGGAAACGGTCTAGACTGGGTCGTCCGTGTAGACCAAGCAATTAGGGGGGGTCTGTGTGGAAGAAGCTGAGCTGGGTAATTCGAATGAATTCTGCAGGGTACTTGGAAGGAGTCCTGTGCTGTGGGCTGGGCAGCAGACTGGGCTCGGAATTGGGAGAAGAGTGCGGGGTAGGGTGGGGGTTGTCTCCAAGCCCTGAGCGTGTAAGCTTTGGGTAGGGGGGCTTAACCGTTAGGACTACCGCGAGCTCTAGGTATCCTTCAGCCCTGGGAGTGGAGAGGACTGGGAGGGGAGCCGTGGAGACCCCTTCCAGAATTCTGAGAGGGCTGGGATTCTAGGGTCTGGGGGAGCTTTTCTGGTTGACTCTTTGGCTTCCCTAGTAGGGGCTGGGGGAATCGCCTGAGGGCCTTCCCCTCTCCGCCCGCTCTTGCCCCTCGGAAGGCATATCTGGGCTTCTCCGTAGGGAGCCGACCCCTTGAAGGTGCAGTTCCCCCCTGCACCCCTCATGGCCAATCTCACCTCACCCACATTGCGCTGTAGGGAGGGAGGAAGAGGTGGGGTGGAGCTATTTTGGGGCCAGAACGCCATCTGCACCGAGGCCCACGCCCAGACCCACGCTCTGCGTTGGGGTGAGGGGAGGGAGAGAGATGCGGGAGGGGCATGACCGCCCCCCCCCACCACGCACCTTTGAAGCAGGGTTATGGAGAATCCAGCCCACCTGGATCAAGGCGTCTGGGGGCAACTCTGAGTTCTCAGCAGGGTGCTGTGGCAGCTGGGGTGGTGGTGAACCGGGGCTCAGGGCTTACAGAGGTCTCAAACTTGAGTTTTAAGGATTGGGGTCCGCCTCTCTCACCTCTACTCCCTTCAAAAAGGCTGGGGTGGGGGAGAGGTGTGTTGGCCAAGCCTGAGATGGCCGGCTTCAGGAGACCTCAGGCAGCCTAGAGTATATTCTGTGTGTGTGTGTGTGTGAGAGAGAGAGAGAGAGAGAGAGAGAGAGAGAGACGAGAGAGAGAGAGAGACAGAGAGAGACAGAGAAGAACGACGAGAGAGAGAGAGAGACGAGAGGAGAGGAGAGAGAGAGAGAGAGAGAGAGAGAGAGAGAGAGAGAGAGAGAGAGAGAGAGAGAGAGAGACAGAGAGAAAGACAGAGAGAGAGAGAGACAGAGAGAGAGAGCACTGAACCCCGGCCTCCGCCTGAAACCGAAGGGCAGGCCCGGGAGCTGGGAACCGCCCCCACTGACCCTCCCCCTCTCTCCCTTCCCCCTGTGCCGCTCCATTCACAAACCCAGCCCCGCCCGCCGGCTCCCCGCCGTGGTGGTTTCCCGAGTGCTGCTCGCGCGCGGAGCTGGGCCGGCGTGGACGCGGGTGTTCTTAAAGGGACAGGGGATCCTTTCCTTGAGCTTGTTCCCGACGGGCGGGGCTGATGGTGGGAGAAGCGCCAGTAAGATCAAAATTCAACTCGTTCAGTCCCTAGCCTGTGGAGTTAGGGGAGTTGGGAAGTGGGTTAGACCCCCATGCAACTCCCACAGACCAGGCCTAAGGGGAGGAGAAGGCGAACGTCCAAACCCCCTACTAGCCCTTCCCCCTCCTCTGAGTTGTCTAACACCTGGGAGGGAGCAGCACTGGAGGGGAGGGTCAATGTGGGTGTTCCTGGTTGACTCCTCCTAGCTCTCTCCTCTGCCCCCAACCCCCACCTTCGGAGTTGGGCTTCTCTGGAATCTCACCCTTAACTCTGACGCAGACTGGAGTCTGGGCTGCAGGGGTGGTGTGAAGCAGAGGCAGTAAGAGGGGTGAGGCTTCCTGAATAGGAGGCCTAGAGAAAGAATCGTGTTGGATGATTACGTGGAACTTTTAAGGAAAGAGTCACCAGCAGAGTGGAGGGGGGTCTCTGGGAGGAGCAAGGCTGGGGGTGAGGTAGGAGGCAGAGCCTTGAGGTGTAAAGGGAGCAGCAGGACGCTGAGAGAGGCTGGATAGGGGAGACAAGGAGAAGTGGGGAGAGGGGGATATGCTGGGAGAAGTGGGGGTGATGTCCAGAGTGGGAAGCCTTGAGGGCTGAGGGGGAAGGGGGAGGTAGCAGGGCATCTAGGCTGAAAAGGCTTTCCTTGGGTTTAAGTTCATCCTAGGAGTTGAGGAAATACCTGCCCCCCAAGCAGGGGCTCACCCACATTTGCCCATAACTGCACACACTGAAGGTGGTACAGTCATACCCAGATTTGCCTTGTGTGGACAGAAGTGCTCAGGACCTACCAAGTCTCTACGATGACCACATGACTATAACTACAAATTCATGGACACATGTGCATTCACATGCCCCTTTGAACATACACACATACATATATACTGGACACAATCACTCTGCGCCACAGACATGGTCCCCCCCAAATAAAAGCATGTGCCTGCACATGCACACACATGGATGTATCCACATTGCTTGATGTAGGTTCACAATATGCATGTCACCTAAAGATCCACCCATGCCATAATACTCAGACATGTACCTATACCTACATACCTATTAAGGCCCCAAACCCCAAGAAACACTTGTGTACACATGAGCACATGCCAAGACCATATGCACATATGACAACACTTGGCTGGACATTCAAAGCAGCCACTTTGAGCAGATGAATGAGGATGTATACAGACATATGCTAATATACATAGATTCACATAAGTGTGTACATTTTTGCAAAGTAAGCAAATGCACATGCCATACAACTGTTTAACTCACATACTCCAATACGTGTTTTTGCCTAACATATCATTCAAAAGCCTGCATGTACCCAAGCTCACACATACCTGCATATGGCACATACAGTCACGCCCCACTCCCCAGCACATGCATGAAGAACATCACCTGCACTCAAATGGTACACGAGTACCCGTCCCTCTATACATTCAACCCATATACACTCAACTGCCTGCCATGGTAACGTGAACAAATACACATGCCAGTACAAACAAATGCCAGTTCTTTTGTGCACACCCTGCACTAACACATGGGAGACCATCCCCCTGTACAGACCTTGCCTTTACCACCTTCTCATTTCTTTATCCATTGCCCCATTGCCCCCTCCACCTTAATCCACTTGCTAAGTCTTGACAGAGTCCTGAGGCTGCTAACAGCAAGTGCCAACTAGTTCCTTTGTGAATTCATTCATATACTTACTCACCAAGGGTTGAGCACCCACTATAAGCCAGGCACTGTTCCTGGCTCTTGGGACCCAGCCGTACTCCTGGCTTCATGCTGGTTGGGTCAGAGTGGGAAAGATGGGGAAGGGCTGAGGGAGTTGGGGAGGAGCGTTTCCATGGCTCTCTTCCTCTGGGAAGCCTGCCCTGTTCCCACCACCACCATTTGCCTGGGTCTCACAAGATGAGGGGGAACTGTGCAGAAGGGAGATCATGATTTAGGTGGAGGGCACATCAAGTGCAAAAGCGTGGTGTCAGAGATTTGGTTTTAGAACTTCCTATGTGTCTCATGGCATTTTGCCAGGTCACTGAATGTTTAAAAGTCTTCATAAATATTTGATGAATGAATATTGCATATAAATTAGCAAATGCATGTGATGGTGAGTTTGCCTCACAACTAAAAATAATGTCTACAACCAGCCCCTCTTATCCAGCACCCCACAACCGCAGTGTTGAGGGCTTTTATGCCCATTGCCCTCTTCAATCCTCACAGCAACCCATTTTACAGATGAACAAAACTGGGGCTCAGGGAGGTTCAATAACTTGTCTGATGCCACATAGCCAGAGGTGTAGCTGCCCAACTTCACAACCTACTGGGAACTGGGGAGTGCAGGTGGAGCCTCCTCTCAGCCTCCAGAATCTGGGAGACACCCAAGTCCCTTCTATGGTGTGAGAATCTGTCCTGGGATCACCTTTTTTCTTCATCCACTCAGTGAGAAGACATGCTATGATCTCCCCATTCATCATGGCTGTTCACTTGCCCTCTCCCAGGAAGTCTTCACAAATCCCTCTGCCCTTTACTGCTCCATTCCTGATACCAACTACCCAGTCAGGGGAGGTCTGCATATGGGTCTTTGCTCTCACCAGCCTCACAGGGTACCTCCAGGGTCGGCTCTGATTCATTTTCAGGGCAACAAGGTTAGCCACCTCCCTATCTTGCATTTCACTTTCCTCTCACATACGATGGGCTTCCTCTGTGAGGTGCCAACCAGGACATCCAGCCTGAGTCCAGCAGGCCTGGATTTGAATCCTTAAATCCACCACTTCCTGGAAAGTCCCATATCCTCTTCATTTCTCAGTGTGCCCATCTGTAGAATAGGCACAGTAACAGTGCCCGCTGCCTAGGTTTGCTGGAACTCTCCAGTCAGATGAGGTATGCAGAGCCCTTGGTATGACGCCTGGCTTGTGGAAGGGTTCGATATGTGTGTGAGCCAAAGACAGGAAAAATCAATGATGGTGTTTTTATTAATGGGGACTAAAAGCTTTCTGGAAGGAGGTCTGTGAGTGTAGGGCATTTTCTGAGAGCTCACTGCGTTCTCAGTCCTGAGGAGGTCTCAGTAATTCACAGTGGGCGAAAGAGATGCCAATTCATTGGAGGTACGTGGGCAGGTGAAAAGTTCAGCACCGCGGACAGCTCAGGAGGAGCCGCTGGGTTCAGCACAGTGGACAGCGTCCGCTCCAGGGGACCAGGTCCCAGGGCAGGATTGCTGGAGGAGACGATGACTTCTTTCCTTCAGTGAACACTATTTAATGAGCACTTACTATATGCCAGCCCTAGTTCTAGGTGGCACCTGGTAAAGAACACAGACAGAAATATCTGTCAAGTTTCTTGGTGTGTTTTTCACACCTAAGGCTTTAATCGGACTCCAGCTTATTTCTGTCTACGGAAGATGAGAGTCCTCATTTATTCTCCTCAACATCAAAACCAGCGGGACCACTGTCCTTATCAGAAGGCCCATGTCCACTATAGACATCACATTTTAAGTACCGAACATCCTAGGTCCTATTTCTGAATTATCTATGCTTCCTTTCCACCACTTGCAGTGTCTTCTGACACCCAATAAGCACGTCCAGTGGGTAGGCCTTCAGCCACTTCCCTTGATGGCTGGAATTCTCTATTCCCCTACTCCCACCCTTAAGCTTGGCAGGTTATGGACCAGGTGCCTCAAGACTGGAGTCTACCTCAATTAGAATCCAGGATCGTCTAAGCCAGGGGCACAGTTAGAACTCAACCAAATAATAAAAATAGCAGTGATACTAGTAATGGTAATAATAATAATATTAGTAATGATAGTATAAAAATGCTGATGCTAATAATGATGAAGAAAGGGGACAGGGAGAGGGAGGAAGAGGAAGGGGAGAAGAAGGAAGTGAAACCAACTAGGTCTCCCTTGCCCCATTTCTCACATGCAGAAACTGAGACCCACTGAGCAGAGGCTCATTGGCCTGGCAGTGCCAATAAGCCCCTGCTCCTACTTCCACTGATTCTGCTCTTGGCAACATCTGCTTGTGCAACCACATTAATCAGTCAGTGCTGATGGGGGCGCCCCAGGGACAGCGGAGGCCCCACAGGCTGCTGACCTTGTGTGACGTGGTGTCTCCTGCCAGCCCGTCAGAAGGTCCAGCAGTGGGCACCTCCCCCACTCGCCACTCCCTGCGGTCGCGTTGCTCACGCCTTCCGCGCCCACGTTATAAATAGCCTCATGCATGTGACCAGGAGCTCGCGGAGGAGGGGCGGCGCTTCCGCCCTGGTGACCCCGATACCGCGGGCAGGGGGAAGGTGGCTGGGCTGAGATGTGATGACAATTATAGTGGTGAAGACGACAGTGACTCGGGTTCCGCTTACTGATAGGGAAGACAGAGGGAGGGAGAGATTTGGTTCTTTCTCTGAGCAACATCCGCCCCTCGCTGAGTCCCCCTTCCTCCAATCCCTCTCTTCCCCTGAGCCCCACTCCTAAGACCACCCACCCCTCCATGCTCCCCTCCCTTCCTGAGTCGTCTCCCTCGTCATGAGCCTCCTCCAGCTCTCCAAGCTTCCTTTCTTTAGTTCCCTACCCTTCTCCTCCTTATCCCATTCCCTCCCAACCTATTTCCTCCCAAGAGCTTCCTACCCCACCCTAGTCCTTGGTCCCACTTGGAGTCCCCTTCCCTGATTCCTCATTCTCCTCTGAGTCCTGTCTTTCACCCTGAGATTCCCCTTCCTCCCTCTGAGTCCCCGGTGATGAACATACATTGATGTCCTCACCCTGGACTCTCTGAAGGGGCCTGTGGGCTCACTGTCAGAGCTAGAGCCCTCCAGAAATCTCCCATTGCTGGTGGGCCCCAAGTGAGCCCTTTGCCCTCTGGCCCAGAGAGGCTTAGGGAGTAAGAAAGAGGGAGAGACTGAGAAACTGGGAACAAGAGAGACAGACGGAGAAGGAGAAGAAGAGAGACAGAAAGACAGTGATGGGGTGAAGAGAAACAGAATTGGAAGGAGGGAGTCAGGGAGAGATCTTCTCCCTAGAGAAGAGGATAGAGACAGACCTTGGACAACTGGTTTCCCCTCTGAGCCCTGTCCCAGATCTGTACAAAGGGGACACAGAACGGGACCTGCAGAGTGGGGTCCAGCCTGGGCTAGACCCCAGTGGGCCCCTCAGATCCCCCAGGGCCTGGCACCTACCTTCTCCCAGTGCCTCCCCACCCCCAGCTTTTCTCTCCTAATCCTGTCTCTCCTCTCCACAGCATCTCCCCTGCCTGCCCTCCCTAGTGGAAATCTCTGTGTCTCTCTCTTTCTGTCTCTCTGGGTCTCTGTCTGTCTCTGACTCTCATGTCTTACCTCCTTCTACTTCTTCCTCCCTTCTTTTCCGTTCTCTCCCCATGTTGATCCCTCCATGTGTGCCTTTCTCAACCTCTGTGTCTCTCCCACCGTTCCCCCTCCCCGCCCTCCACCTGCATCCTTCCTGCTTCACAGAATCATCAGGTTTGCAAGCTGGAGCTCTCCTAGGAGGGAGGCCTGGAGCTTCTCCTGTGCACAGTCCTAAGTGCCCCTGAGCCTCACCAGGCCCAGGAGTGAGGGGCTGGGTGGATGAGCTCCCTGTGGGCTGGGTAGGGTTGCGTGTATGAGAGGGGGTCTGTGGGTCAGGGATAGGGACCCTCTCCTTCTAGAGAGGGATTTTTGCACATGCAGTAATGTGCCTTGAGTGGGAGGTTGAAGAAGACAAGACATGGTGACAGATTTTGAGTGTGGGAAAAGAAACAGAAACAGAAATACAGCAGGAGACAGACATGGAAGCTCAGACAGGGAGGTTCACTTTCCCAGGGTCACACAGCACCGTAAGATGAACCCAGCTCCACCCGACTCCATCCTGAACCAGTGCTCACCTCTCCCAATGGCCAGCCAAGGGCTCTATCTGTGTTCTAACTCCCAAACCAAAACCCAGGTGTGGTGGGCATAATGTGCAACCTATTTGCACTTAAAGTCTGGGTCTTTGGGAAGGATGGTGTTGGCATAAGGAGACACTCAGTTTCTCTTCTTCTCTGCAGCTCTGAGGAGCTCACTCAGTGCTTCTGGGCATCAATCCACACCACCCCACCCCAAACATACGGTCTGTCTGCAACAGGAACAAATAGTATTTACTGACAAGTGTTTAAAACCACTCTACTTCCCCTGTCCTCGATAGGAATTCTTTATTCACTGGTCCCATTCAGGTGCTTTTTCAAGAAAGAAATTCAAGTGATGGAGACAGAGATACAAATCCCATATGTGAAGATGAGCCCCAGATAGGAGGCCATGGTATGTGCCTAGAAAAAGGCTGAACTTGACTCTCAAAAAGAAGAAAGAACAGAAATGCAATTCTGTTTCTAGGAATTTATCCTTCAACTTACTTGCGCACACTTTTTAAGACATACTTAGAAACAGAAAGGTTCCACAGAGGGTATAGAATGCTACTATTTGTGCAAGAAATAAAATAATGTACATGTGCACATACTTGCGAATGCACAGACTATCTATCTCTAGTTCCACAAGGAACTGGTAATGTTGATTGCACCTCGGAGAGAGAGTGAGAGCTGGGGTAGAAGAAGCCTTATCCTCATTGTATAATCTTTTGATTGCTTTGGATTTTGTAAAATGTGCGTGTATTGCCTAGTCAAAAAAAATACTCATTTGAAAAGTAAAAGAGACACAAAATATAGAAAGCAGGCGAGAAGGCTCAGTTTGGGAGCAGGTTTTGGGTGGGAGTAGAGAGTGAATGGTGGAGAAATACATTGGGAACAGATGCAGAGTTTGAGAGATATTGAAAGTGAAATTTTAATATCCTGTGAGAAAAGCCAGCAAAGAGTGGAATTGTTTTGAATCACTTGGGGCTGAGGGGTTATGTGACGTATGAGGAGACTGGACCACATGTGATCCTGATGTAATTTGGGTCGCACCTTTCACAGGCAAGTTGGGCTGGACAAGCTCTAACAACCTCCTGGCCAGGACTGGAATGTTTCTCTATGCACTATGGAGTCAGCTCTCTGGGTTGTTCTTTCCCACCTTGTCCAACTCCTTTTGAATATTAAACCCCAAACCCTGGGATCGTTTGGTAGGACAGACTGAGCTGAACAATTGGGGGACAAGTCTCACTGGCCTAACAGGTGGATTGGAATCATTGGAGATTGTTTTCTCCTCTCCCCTACCTCCTTCTCACTAAATCCCTTCCTTCTTCCGAAGCAATCCTGGAGGGTTTCCTGTTGGAGGCCTCTCCTGCCACCTGCCTTCCTTCTTTTGAATCGAGTTCAATTGTGCGTAAAGTCATAACTGGAGGGAGGGAGCTTCGGGGGAGTTTGATGGGGAGGGGGGTGGGACAGGGACTGCTCCCAAGGTCCATACTTCCTTCCACCCCTAGGTCTGCCTGTGTTCATCTGTCTGATGGCTTCTCTCTCTCTCCCTCTCATCCCTGCCTCCCTTCTCTCCTTATTTCTCCTCTCGTTGTCTGCCTCTGGTCTCTGATTTCACCTTCATCTTTATCTTTTTTTTCTTTTTGATCTCTTTATCTGTCTCTTTTGCTCTCTATTTTTTGCCTCTCTCTTTACTCTGTCTCTTTCTGTGTCTCTCTCATTATGTCTCTATTTTCATGTGTCTGTGTCTCTGTCTCTCTGGTCCCCTTCTCTCTCCCCATCTCCCTTCCCTATCTCTGTCTCTCTCCACAGTCAAAAAAGCCAAGTTTGATGGTGCCCAAGGTAAGTGACCTCTATTTCTGCCCTATCCTGTGTTGTCTGTCTGTCTGTCTGTCTCTTGGAGAGATTGGTGGGGGTCTGAGCCAGTGATGGGGGCTTGGGATCTATGTCTGCTGAGCATCATGGACAGTGTCAGACTTGGTCTGGAGTCCCAGCAGTCTTCCCAGCCATCCCCTGAAGACCCCAGTGGGAATGAGGCTCATCCTGAGCCAGTGGTGATTACTAGGATCCTAAAAGACAGGGTAGGGACTCTTAGATCAGTTGAGAAAAGTAAGGCTCAGAGAGGTGAAAAAGTTTTCTTTATCTAAAGATATTGGACACAGTCATTTTTAAGCATCGGGATTAGGCATTCCAAAAGTCCACGTCTCCCTTGCACCAAGGCCCCTGCCTTGTGTTCTGAGGAACTGGGGTGGGGCTCTGGGGGCTGATCTGGGGGTGGAGGCACAGAAGAACCTCAGTATATTGGACCTGGGGTGGCTCCCAAGAATTCACAGCCCCTGGGGGATCATATCGGGGTCATCAATAGCTTGAGAAGGGGCATGGGGGAATCCCTGAGCCCCTACACTGACCTCTGTTCTCATCGTTACAGAGAAATTCAACACGTATGTGACCCTGAAGGTGCAGAATGTCAAGAGCACGACCATCGCCGTACGGGGCAGCCAGCCCAGCTGGGAGCAGGATTTCATGTTGTGAGTCTTCTGTGACTGGACCTAAACAGCCTCGCCCCTTGGCACAGCCAGGCGCTTTGTTGGTCCTACAGGGCACAGCTGGACACCTGGGCATTGTCTGGGACTCCCCTCTCTCCTCCTTCAGCCCCCATGTCCAGCCATCAGCTTTGCCTCCAAAGCACTTCCCAAATCCAATTGTTTCCCTTTATCTCCGAGGGCACCAGCCAAGTCCCCACTGCCCGACAGCCTCCACCCTGGCCTCCCGCTGCCATCTGCCTCTCACAATCTGTTCTCCTCCAGGCAGCCAGAGAGATATTTTTAAAACTGCAAATCACATCCTGTTACTCTCCAAACTTGCCTGTGGCTCATAGTTCATCAACCTCAGAACAAAACTCATATCCTCCCCACCATCCCCAAAGGCCCAGCCCCTGTGACCTCATGCCAATATCTTGCTCCATCTCTCCTGGGTCTCCTGCCCCAGACACACCCACCTCTGCCCTGTTCCTTCAACATGCCCTGCTTGTTCCTGCCCCAGGATCTTTGCTCTTGCTCTTCTCTTCCCTTCTCTTCCCTTCCTAGTTGGCTCTTCTTGCCCTTTGGGTCTCAGCTGTGTCACCTCCTCAGGGAAGTCCTCCCTGATCACCATCCCCAAGCTGTAATTGAAGAGTCATTTCAAGCCTTGTCACTAATTGTTATTTTATTCATTTGTGTGATTTTTTTCACTCCCCTCCCCGCTAACCCCATTTGTGTGGGTTTTGACACATTTCTGGCCCCTTCCCCTGGACTATGAGCTCCAAGAGGGAAGGGCCCTGTCATTCTCTGTCCCGGCACTGTGACACTTATGCCAAGGACAGGGCCTGGTGCACAATGGATGCTCAATAAATATATGCCTAACAACTGAATGAATTCATGACCTGGCCCCTCGCCTCAATCTGGAGCCACTCAGGGCTTCGTATTATATCCCACCCACTGATGATGTGTCAGGCCCGCTTCTAATGCTTTGATTAAATCATTTGCCCATAACCCTGGCTGGGAGGGTGCTACTGTAATCCTCATTTTGCAGATAAGGAAACAGAGGACCAGAGGGGCAAAGCCACCCACCCAGTGTCATCCAGCCTATACTTGGGAGAGCTGGGATTTGGACCCAGGCAACCCTCAACCTCTGATAAGACCCTGGCTGGGGATTTTCACTGATAGACCATGAGAGATTCCAGAATTAAGATTCTGGAGCAGAAGAGCATTTGGGGAAAGAAGGAAGGAACTGGTTCTACCATTCTGGGGAAAATGTGAAGGGGGTGGGACAGAGTGGTCCCCAACTCCCCCAAAACCACTTACTAAATGATCAGGTCACAGTCAACAGATATATTCAAGGAGCTCATTCCTTAAGATAAATCTTTGGTCAATTGATAGACTCAGTGGATTGGACATCCCCCAAGATTTTCCCCCAAGTCTGCATATTTCCAGGGTGGGACCTGCAGGGAAAGGGCTTAGAGGTGAAATCATTCATTTGCTCAAGGGCGTCTTCATATGATTGAATAGAGATGACTTTGGGAAGGATGGAAGCACCTGAATATCCTAATCTTGGGGTAATAGGGAGCCATGGAGGATGTTTGAGCCTCCTCACTTAGCCAACATTCTCAGGGTCTGAGGACTAGAGGAAAAGTCAGATGAATTGGGGGTACAGGAGAAATGTGGTAACTATCCACTTCCTTCCCAGCTTGGAAAACATTCTGCTATGATATCCTGAGCATGTAACTAAGCCCTCTGGCCTCAGTTTCCCATCTGTAAAACAAGAACCACTGTGTTACCTTCCTGGCTAGGACTCACCGAGGCTTGGATTCGCACTCCAGTTCTTGTGTGTCCCAAGGTAAGTGAACTGACTTTTCTGAGCCTTCGTTACCTCTTTCCACAGTGAGATTAACCGCCTGGATTTGGGGCTGACAGTGGAAGTGTGGAACAAGGGTCTCATCTGGGACACGATGGTGGGCACAGTGTGGATCCCCCTGCGGACCATCCGCCAGTCCAATGAAGTAAGTAGTGGGCTGAGGGTTGGGTAGGAGTGCCTGGGAAGGGACCAGGGGCCAGTGGCCCAAATAAGATGGACATCTATCTCCTTCAAATGACGATGTTCCTATGTGGCAGCTCCAGTCACCAGGGTCTAAACTCCTTCCATCTTGTTGCTCTGCCTTTCTCCCCACGTGGCTTCTACCTCATGGCCCAAGAACTCTACTCAAGGATTACCATTATATCTGCATTCAAGTCAGGGGAGGGAAAGGTAACAAAGGAGGGGGTTGGCCCTTCTAATGAAGGACCCAAACTGGAAGCTACCCAAGGCACTTTATTCACATGTCATTGGCCAGAACTGTCATGTAGCCCCACCTACCTGCAAGGGAGTCTTGGAAATGTAGTTTTAAGCTGCACAGCCCTGGGCCCAGCTAGAAATGTGTTCCTATGAAAGAGAGGAGAGAGGATATTCTGCATAGATAGCACTTTGTGCCTAGATGGGCATCACAGAGGTTACTCCAGTTCTAAGGAAGGTACTAGACAATAATCTTGGCCTCTTCCCTCTCCTCCTGGCCTTAAGTCTCACACTCTCCGCTTGGCCCCTAGGATCCTGTCCTACCCTCCTTGCCCATCTCCCTTGGGAGGCCTTCCAGATGGCACTGACCCACTTTGCCAGACTTATTTCCCCCTAATTCACAACCTATATACCTCACAGGTCCCAAAGATGGCCTCTGAACTTTCACATAGGCTGTTCCCTGGGTTTCAAGTGTCCTCCTTTCCATCACCCTAAAGCCCAGCTCTCATCCCCTCTCCTCCAGGAAGCCCTCCCTAACTTCCCCCTGAATCTCTCAGCTCTCCTCCCTTCCACTGGCCTGGCCCTGATTTCATGGGTCTGGGACTATCTGTGTCAGGCTCTGTCTGCTATGACTGTGGGCTCCTCAGGCATTACCCAATGTAGACCAGGCATAGAGCAGGCACCAGGGAGGGTTCATTTTCTAATGAATAAATGGAGAGGGAGGAAAAGGGTGCAATAGTCCAGGCAAGTGAGTCCAAAAGGAAGCCTTATAGATGATCCAAAATTTCCTCAGTGACCCCCAACAATGTATGAGGAAGGCTGGTCACCTAGGACAACTGTGACCAATGCAAGGGACCCTGAGCTACTACCCCAACCCCTGCCAGCCTTCCCCTAGGGCTGCAGAAAGCAGATTCTGCAGAACACTATTTTCATTTGAGAGATGAAGAAACTGAGGTTTAGAGTGGACCCCACATGCTCAAGGGTTCATTTCCCTGAACCAAGGGGAACTGGTTCATTCATTCAGGAGTTTCCTCTCTGGATGGTGGGAAGATCAGGTCTTTTATCTGAAGTTAGGGCCCCATAACCCCTCTTTAGAGATGATGGGTGCTGTGCAAGGCTGGGACCGCCCCTATCTGACTCTGCAGGTCCCTCTATCTGGGTTCTTACCCCTGAGTTCCTTAGAACCACCATATTGCCCTGAACTGTGACCTTCCTTCTCTGAGTCTCAGTTTCCTCACCTGTAAGGAGAGGACACGATCCTTGCTCTTGGGATAAGATTGAGATGGGGTGAGGGAGACATCTTGGTGACAGTAGGAGGTCTGCTGGCCAGTGCGCACCAAATACGTGATCCACGTTGTCTTACCTGTGACCCTAACCCCTGTTATCCCACCCACACTGCAGGAGGGCCCTGGAGAGTGGCTGACCCTGGACTCTCAGGTCATCATGGCAGACAGTGAGATCTGTGGCACTAAGGACCCCACCTTCCACCGCATCCTCCTTGACACCCGCTTTGAGCTGCCCTTAGGTGAGTGTGGGGTGGGGGATGGTGGGGAAGGAACCTCACTCAACCCCAGGAGAATAGCCGGGCCTAGGTGGGTCCAGAAAACCCTTCATTCTGAGGATGAGTTTCCTCCTCCCCAGAGGAGAGTCTCCTGGGTTATAGCAAGTCAGCAGAGATGTGTGCCTGCCACGTGCAGCGTGCACTCCAGCTCCTGCAGGACACCAACGGCCTGTAAGGGCTTTTCAACCTATGGAGCTCAGGTCTAAGCAATCCTGGCTGGTCTTTGGTGTGATCTTAGGCTGAAGAGTGAGCTGAGGATAGGAGGAGAGACAGATAGAGGCAGAGAGAGACAGAGAGACAGAAAGAGAGAGAGACTGAGAGAGAGGAGAGAGAAAGAGAGAGAGAGATGTAGAAATAAACAAAAGGAGAGACACAGAGAAACCTCTCCACCTTTCCTGGGAGCAGCTTGGATCTTCCACATTATCCTTCCAAGAACCCATGGCTTCCTCACCCTTGTAATACTAGGATGCAACTTCTCTCCTATTCTCCATCCATTCCCAAGGCCACTCTGGGCTGCGTGGTGGGGCATCAGGGGTGCCATCTTGTCCTCCCTTCCTCTCCCTCCACCCACTGGAGAGCAGCCCCATGGGCCTGCAGGATACACTGGATGGAGGCTGAGAGTCAGGAAGGGGCTTCCAGACTCACAGCCAGGGCTCTGTTTGCAGACATCCCCGAGGAGGAGGCACGCTACTGGGCCAAGAAGCTGGAGCAGCTGAATGCCATGAGGGACCAGGATGAGGTGAGTGTTGGCGTGGGGGCTCTTTTCTTCCTCTGTCTCTTTGTCTCCCTATGTCCTCCACTCTCTGTCTCTGCTTCTCTCTCTGCTTGTCTTTCCCTATGTCTGTGTCTCTAACTCTTTGTAACCTGACTAAATCAGTGACCCACGTGGTCCAATCTCGAACCAATGATGGCATCAAGGAACATATATATGGTCCACCAAGGACATGATGATTTCAGTTGACTCAAGATCTGCATTTACCAAATACTCTCAAGGAGATATGGAGGCTCCATAACAGTTCTTACACCCCACCCCCTTTCTGCCCACACCCCTCAACTCCTCGAGTCACACTTTCAGATTTCTTAAAGTTCTCCTCCCCTCACAGCAGCCCTGGCCCCTGTACCTCTGTTCTTCCATGCCCCCCACTTCTTCTTCTGTGCTCTGTCTTCTCACGGTTCAAAGACCCAATGTGGCCCAGAAGACAGTCTTCAGGGAAGAAATAGCAAGCAAGCCTGGAATACTCTTGAGTGGGAGGCAGAAAGCAAAGGGGCAACAACACTCACATGTTAATAATTTTTGTCCAACCTCAGCTCATATCTTCTTTCTTCAGCTCCCTGCCTCAGTGTTCTCTCTCTCTCTCTCCTCTCTCTCTCCCTTCTTTCTGTTTTTTTTCCTCATCTGTGTCTCTTTTTCTTTTTTTCTGTTGCTCAATGTCCCTGTGTATGTGTCTTTCTCTCCCTCTTTCTTTCTCTGTGGACATCTGTATCCTTCTCCTACAGAGAGAGAGGATTTAGGAGGTGGGGGAAGTCAGGATGAAACAGAACAGAGAACCATCCTGATCCCCTGAGACAAACCTTCTCTTCTGCCCTCCCCTTCAGTATTCATTCCAAGATGAACAAGACAAGCCTCTTCCTGTCCCCAGCAACCAGTGTTGTAAGTACATCTCAATTCCTTCCTGGGCATCATCTGAAACTCTCATCCCTCTCCTACCCCATGACTGTCCTGTATAATGTGTTACTCCCCTCTAGAGATATGGGTCCTAAGAGTGCACAGTATCTGCTCACAACTTAGTGGAAAAAAGAAGGGATCTGGCACTTGGGTTTGAGTCCTGCCTTGCTATGTGGCCACAGGCATGCCAGTGTCCCTCTCTGATCCTTAGAATCCCTCTCTTTGAAACTGGGGCATCTGATAGGCACCCCCACTCCTTTCTAGAAGGATCCAGGAATGTTAGAGTCTTTGAAAAACACTTTGAAGACTCTTCAATTTCATTCGTCAGATCCTGGATAAGTACCTATAACTCATTCAATAAACTCTCATGAGGCCAACACAGACCCCACCCTGGGCAGCCCACAGTCAGACGGTGCAGACAGACAATCAGGTCAACACATATATAATAGGCACATGTATAATGAACAAAGACTATTTCATTTACTCATTTTCTTGGATAAGGAAACTGAGGCCCAAGAGGAGAAGTGACTTGCCAAGGCCACACACCTGGCAGGAGACAGAGCCAGTATTTGAGCTCAGGTCTGAGGGACTCTAAGTTTGCTTGTCTTTCCACTGCACTGCACCTATCAATGAAGGTGATTATCATGTTCCGCTGCATACTGCCTCTCCATCAAGGCTGGAGTTTTCAAAAGTGTTTATCTTCTTTGGCCTGTGGACACTCAGATGCATCCCCACCAGGTCTCCACAGGCCTAGAAGATGTCGTTCCCTTAAAAGTGCTGTCTGAGTCCTCTGAAGTAGGAAGGGAGTAAAAATCATAAAGTCTCAGGGCAAAAATCCCACCCGTGATACTTTGCTCCCACCCTACTCCTCAACCTCTTTCCCCTTTGCCATCTGCTTCCCCATCCTCCTTTCCTCCTCTCTCACAGTCTCCCCTGTATCCGTCGTCCGCCCTCCCCTATATGCCCAGGATTGCGATAATGAAGGTGGAAGGAGAGGGTGGAGACTGCAGTTGGAGGAACCCTATTCTTACACTAACTTGGGGTGTGATATTGAGAAAATCCCTTGACTTCCCTGCCTGGGGAGTGGTCATCATTGCTCTGAAGAAATTAACAACCCCTCTCTCTGGTGAATGGGGTCATTGAAGGATTGTGGTGGGGCAGGGGCAGGCAAACTAAGGGGCAGGAGCAGATGACAAAGAGCACCTGGGCAGGGGGACTGAAGTAAGAGGTGGGTTCAATTGGAGAATGGAAACCTACTACCCAGCATTTACTTCCGAGTCCTCTGGGGGATGTGTCATCACCCCCATTTCACCAAGGAGGCAGCCAAGAGGAATCTGAGTTTTGGTCCAGTTGTTTTTCTGAGCTCCCTGGTGCTGGGGATGAGGTTCGAAGATGTGGTGCTCTCCCTGGTCCTGATGCTCAGGCTGTGTGACTTGAGGCTGTTCATTCTACCTCTCTGACCCTGTTTCTTCACCTCGAAAATGAGAAGAATGATTAAAAATAAAAACTCACCCAACAAGGGGTGTTTCAAAGTTGAGGATTTCCAGTTCAATGTTTCTTTTATTATCTGGGATATGGGGGAAGGAAGGAATGGCAAATCCTGACCCCAGACTTCAGAGTTGGAAAACCCTGGGTTGGAATCCCTCTTTGTTACTTCCTGGCTGAACCTGTGGCCTTGTCAAAAAATGGGGAGATCCCGCCTTCCTCCCAAGGTATTCAGTGAAGGCATGACAAAAGTCAGTGGCTAAAGTGATGCTCAGGGAAGATACTCAGGACAGAAGGGGATGGGGTCCTGGGGTGGGAGGAGGAGACGGGGAGAATGAGGAGGATGGGGAAGCACCCCATGCCTCCCCCTCTGCCTGCTGCCTTTTATTATCTCTGCCCCTTCTCTTTGTAGGCAACTGGAATTATTTTGGCTGGGGTGAGCAGCAGAGTAAGTACTCAGCTTGATGTTCTGGGAGGCCATGGGGAGGTGGGCACCTTGGCGACCCTGAGGCCCCCACTGCACTGCTCAGGGAAGCGGGGAGCCTGTGGCTGGCACATTGGGGCCAGAGGACTGGCAAGATCCTTTTGGTGCCATCCTGCCCCCTAATCATTAACCTCTGTCTTGAGGGTCCTACTGTCTGGTGGGGAGTGGGCACCACCCCTGAGGTGGAGGGATTCAGCTGGGAGGAGTGGGCATTTAGACTGGAGACCTGCCTGTCTCCAACTGGGCACTGTGACTTCCCCTCCCCCTTGCTCCCCATGTATAACCTCATCTCCTCTCCTGTGACTCCTTCCTCTTTTTGTCTCCCCATCTTCCTCCTTCACCTGAAAAGGAACCCTAATGTCATTCAGAGGCTGATGGGTGGGAGGGGAGAGGGTCTCAGAGAGAGCAGCTGAGCAGGGACCCCAGCAGATATCACTCAAGATCTCAGCTCCCAAATCTCCCTTCCTCCACATCTTCCTCCAATTTACCCTTAGGGGAAGGAAACAAGCTACCACTCCCAAATTGGATGGCCATTTTTCTCCCTAAGGAATAGCTCCCTTTCCCCCATGTACTGCCTCTTTCAGAGAAATCCACTTGTCAACTCTGAGCATGAATTTACCTCCTATTCTCTACTCAACCAACTGGGGGCCTCTCCACCCCATCCCCATATCCTGATGGACCAGCTCCACCCAACCCTCCCTCCAGGATCAGCAAAACTGTTTACAAATACAGTTGCCCTTTGAATAACACGAACTTGAACTTATATGTGGATTTTTTTCAATAAATATTGCAACAGGACTACACCATCCCTGTTTGGTTGAATCCATGGATGCAGAATTGTGGATACAGAGGATTGATTGTAAAATGTCACACATGGATTTTCAACTGCATTGGCGTCTCTAACCTTTGCATCATTCAAGGGTCAACTGTACTTTGATCCAAATCAATCTGTCAAAAACGAGTTGATCAGAAACCAATTTAGCCAAAATAGGCATTTGGCAGACAAGAAGGCTTGGTAACAACAGTCTACCACAAACAAACAATACAATGAAAAAAATCATTTTTTGTTAAAACCAGTTTAGAAAAGGCTGATAATTGGGTCAAGTAGAACAAAGACAACTGGGTCAAAAGCAGACCATTTTGTCAACCAAAAGTAGCTGAAAAATGCCTTATCCAGAGAAGCAGGCAATTTGGTCAAAAACCATTTGGTAAAGAGCAGAGTCTGGACAAAAACAGAAAGAACCCAAGAGAAAGCAATTTGCCCCTTAAAAAACAGATAATTTGTTGGAAAAAAATAATTTAGTGAACACATGATTTGGCTGGAAACATCTCAGCCCAGTCAAGGGCAAGTGGGTAGACTGTAAGCCCAGATAATGCGAAGAAAACAGGTTGGTTGGAGGAGTAATTGGGTGACATTCACAAGTTGTCCCAAGTTGCAGACCCCCCAACTCAGGGCTCTATGATATCACAGGTACACCTTGGTGCATAAATCAAAGTTGTGGAAACTCACATCTACTTCTGCTGATGCTCACAGGACGCAGCACATCAGATGGTGGTCGTATGGCAGGGACAGGTCGTATTGCAGGTCACGGTGGCCCAAGTCAAATGAGAAGCCAGGAAGCCAGAGTTACCTTGGTGAGGCAGGGTTTGCTGGCTAAAAATAAATTTAAGGTTTTGCGGAAGGCAAAATAATGTAGGGAATGAATCAAATAGCTAGTTCTACAAGAAGTATGAAATCAATTTTTCCACAGTTTGCCACAGTAAAAAAAAGGTCAACCTGTTTTGGAATATAGAGAAATAGACTCTATCAGTGGGGAAAGAATGAGAAAGTTAAGGGGGGTTGGTGTAGCTCAAGTGATAGAGCGCATGCTTAGCATACGCAAGGTCCTGGGTTCAATCCCCAGTACCTCCTCTAAAAATAAGTAAGTAAACCTAATTACGTCCCCACTAAAAAATAAATTTTAAAAAATGAAAAAATTAAAATAATAAAGGGAAAAAATCTGGGAAATGAGCAAAAATACTTAAAGACATTAAAAAAGTACAAGCCACCCCGCTGGTGTTTAAAATCACCAGTAAATTGATACCACAGCTGAGCATACCATGGGGCCCCCAAGCAGGGGGTTAATTTAGGGGAGGGGGCAGCCCCACTTTTTTTCAACTCAACTGTTGCTTTCTAAATAAATTGAGTCTCTCCTGTTCCCGCCACAATCTAGCATCCTCTGAGACTGTTTTCTTTTCACTAAGAAAGAAAACCTATTTTCCATTTACTAAGGAAAACAAGCCAAACTAAAATATCCTGTAATTCTTATTAAACACTTGAAGTTTGGCAACCTGAACTTGTTCCATTTGACTGATAGATTCTGGGCACGTGGTGGTCTTGTCAACCTAAGAATCTAGTCTTTTTGAGGCTGACAGCACTTTGTCAGAGCCCCTTCCTTGTTCCTATGCATGTGAGCTCAGGTCTGGGGTCCCTATCCTTGTATATCAAGAAATCTCTGAAGGTTAATGGGCATTAATACTCTACCGTGTCTTCCTGATCTCCCTCCAACTTCCCCTTGAGTGTTTGTGTGACTCTTGTTATGGGAAGCTCATTGCCTGATGGAAAAACTCATATTGTTTTCAGAGCCTGGACTTTAGCAAAGTCCATTCTCACACTTGAGCTGAAAGGCACCTTCCAGTTTGTCCCTGTCTTTCTCACATTGTAGGACCAACCCTGGACCTCAGACTCTAGGTCCAGTTTGAGCCACATATAGAAAAGTGGGTTGTCACATCCCTAATTCTAAAGCCTATTCCTCTATTAACATGACCCAAGATCTTTCATTCATTCTGGTAGATTCCTCTTCTTGGGTTAGCAGCCAGTGAAGAACTCTAAGTCTGAGGGACTGTATTGGCTTCCATTTTGTGCTGTCTCTCTCCCTCCCCTCCTCACTCTATCCTCTCACCTCTTTTCTCTTCCAGATGATGACCCTGACAGTGCAGTAGATGATCGTGACAGTGACTACCGCAGTGAGACAAGCAACAGCATCCCGCCACCCTATTATACTACATCCCAGCCCAATGCCTCAGTCCACCAATATTCTGTCCGCCCACCACCCCTGGGTTCCCGGGAATCCTACAGTGACTCCATACACAGTTATGAGGAGTTCTCTGAACCGCGGGCCCTCAGGTAGTCACTGTGGAGTAGAGGATCTGTGTGGTGTGTGTGTCTGCATGCATGCATGTGTGTGTGTATCTCTGGAGTGGAGAGAGGAGTATAGGGCTGGAGGAAGCTGGGGGTGGAGGAAAGTGGGTCTAGGAAAGCAGCATCTGTGCTTTCCAGATCCTGGTCCTGCTATATCCAGTCTATAAGCAAGAAAAATAATGATGGTTAATTGAGCACTTACTATGTGCTGGGTATTCTAATGAGTTCCAAGTAATTCACTTATTCCTTCCACAGTCTTACGAGGTGAGAATTTACCTCTTCATCTCCCAATGGCTTTGTAGATAAGGAAAATGAGGCAGAGAGATGAAGTGATTTTCCTGAGGTCACAGAGTTAGTAAGTGGCTGAGCCTGTGAAGAAGGCTTCTGAGTCCATCTCCACAGCCATAATCCCATACTGCTTCTCAGCCCGAAAAAAAGGCACCTGGGTACCCACAAAGTTAGCTCAAGATCCCACAGCTGGACAAAGGTGATGTTCCCATCTTGCAGCCAGGACATCGACCAAGGAGACCATCCATCCTCTGTACTCTCAGCAACATCTCAGAACCACCCCCACATTACCTCACATTCAAAACTTCAAGGGCAGGTGGAAGGTATAGCTCAGTGGCAGAGCATGTGCTTAACATGCACAAGGTCCTGGGTTCAATCCCCATTAAAATAAATAAGTAAATAAATAAATCTAATTACCTCCACCCCAAAACAAACAGAAAACAAAAATTCAGGGGCAAACCCCAGTTATTTTTTTAAGTACTGATAATTCTTTTTTTAAATTTTTTAATTGAATTATGGTCAGTTCACAATGTTGTGTTAATTTCTGGTGTACAGCATAGTGATTCAGATATATATACATATATATATATAATTCCTTTTCATATTCATTTTCATTATAGGCTATTATAAGATATTGAATATAGTTCCCTGTGCTATATAGTAGGGCCTTGCTGTTTTTCTATTTTATATATAGTAGTATCTGCAAATCCTGAATTCCCAGTTTATACCCCAGTTATTAACCATAGCTATTCAGGCTCTTGAACTGCAGACTTTCTCTGCCTCTTGACAAAGAGGTTAGTCATGGAAACAAGTATTCATATCATGGCTGAGGCTTGGAGAAAATCAAAACCAATTTATTTGTAGCACGGTAAGAAAACAAATCTTGCATTGTCTATCTTTGTACCATCGAGGTAAATGGAGCTTTCAGAGCTGTGCTGTCCAACATGATAGCCACACATGGCTTTTTAAAGTTAAATTTCAGTAAGTTAAAATAAACAAAATAAAATTCTGTCCTTCTGTCATACTGGACAATTTTCAAGTGCTCAAGGGTCATGCACATGTGGCTAGTGGCTACCATGTTCAATAGCAGGGGCAGAAAACATCTTCATTTGCTGGAAGTTCCATTGCACAATGCAGTAGAGAGTTTGGGTAAAACATAATCTGAAGAAAACCTTTGTAAGCTTCCTATCCACTCATGGGCATCATCCACTACAATATTTTTTGCAGATATTTGAACAACTTTTATTTTGAGTTTTCCTATAGAAAGCTTGGATAGTTTATAGACAGAATGTGTTAGAAGGAACTTTTTTAAAAAGAGTGAGCAGTTAGCTATATTGAACATTTTTTCATGGGCCTATTGGCCATTTGTATGTCTTCTCTGGGGAATTGGTTGTTCAAGATTTGCAGATGCTAACTACTATATATAAGAGAGATAAACAACAAGTTTCTTCTGTACAGCACAGGGAACTATGTTCAATATCTTGAAAAAGATATGAAAAAGAATATGAAAATGAATATATGTACATATGAAACATACACACATGTATGACAGAAACATTATGCTGTACACTAGAAATGGACACATTGTAACTGACTATACTTCAATTTTTTTAAAAAAGAGTGAACATTTAGTCTAACCTCTTTATTTTTTAGGTCCAAGGAAATGAAATGATGTAGTCAAGGTAAAACATTTAGTGGCATAGGTGGGAGTAGAATTAAGCTTACCCTGGATTTGCTCTGGCATTCCTCATTCAAATCCTTCGTGCTTGAGCTGTCCTGAAAATAAAGCACTAGGTCCCTTTCCATTTATCTTCATGACTTCCTGATTCAAAATAGCTTCAGAAGCAATCCTACCTCCCTAACAGCTCCTCCTACCATTTTTGCAACCACTACAATTTGTAGAGCCTGGTTCATTAGGCACATTCGGGCTGGCTCAGACTTAAGCAATTATTGGAATCAAGTTTCAACACTTTGGAAACAGCTGAAAGAAGAGTCAGATATCAATATCAAATATGAATAAAATATTAAGTCTTTTGGAAGATAGAAAAAAGTCTTTTCTCGGGGGAAAAAGCAGAAGAGGGCCGACTTTACAGATAGGGAAACTGAGGCTCAAAGAGTGGGAGCGAATTGCCTGGGTCTCAGAGCAGGGTGTGCACTAGCTGGTCCCGGGTTGGGATCCCGCCCTGTGTGCGTGGCCACTTCTTGTCCTTCTCTAGTCTTGGGTGTGTCTGTTTGTCCTGGGAGGATTCTGTTTATTGTAAGCATTCCTGGGATGGAGTGAGAGAGTGAAAAAGAAGGAGCCCCCTCCATTCTCACCATGAACAGGTCACAGGGTGGGAGGGGATGCGGAGGCAGAAGCTGCCTGAGTCTCTCTAAGAGTCTCTTAAGCCACCCTCCCAGGCCACTTTGACCTTGCTGCCCAGTGCTGGATGATGCTGGGCGCCCAGAGGCTGGGGAGACAGAGTGGGACACAGACATTCCATCCCGCAGGTCAGTGCTTGGCTAGAGGGAGGGACATGGCTTGATAACCTGGTGGTGGGGAAGGGCATAGAGGGCTTCCTGGAAGAAGGTGCCCGGGAGCCAGCCCTTGAAGGATAAATGAGGAGTCTAAGGAGAGGCATTCCAGGCAAAGAAAACAGCTCGACTAAAGGCTGGAGAGGTGGACAGGGCCAGATCATGCAGGGAGGCCCTTGGTGGCTTACTTGGGGCCGTGGCATCCAGGAGAGGCATCTGGGGTCAGAGCTGTGTTGGACCCTGAATGTCAGAGCTGCGGTGAGAGGAGTGTTGGTGACTACCAGGTCCCACCCTGTCACTGCCTGGGCAGTTTACATGGTGCCTGAGGTCACAAGTGGACACATCCAGGCCGATGTGGGGGCCCCAGTCTCACTTGGGAGCGCAGAATGTGCTGGGGTGGACTTCGTGGGTATTCACTGGCAGAGGAAGCTTGGAGTCCTTTCCAGCTCAATAACAACTGCTAATTCCCCCATCCCTGATGCCTGCAAGGATGGGCACTAAAAAGCAATCAACCACGCATGTAACTTGGCAAATAAGGACCAGAGGGAGAAACCTCTGCTTGATTCCTACAGCATCCCAGAGGCTGGCCAGGGAAGAAGGTCCCAGTCAGAGAGTTTAAGACCAGGAATGCTGTTTATTGAGTGACTGAATGAGTGGGTAGAAGGAGGGCGACCGGTGACCCCTGTCAAGCTGCCTGCCCTCAGACAGAGACAGGTATTTCTTCCCGGTCATGTCGAGTGTGATCCAGGGTGCATATAAGGAGCCTATACTGGGGGTGGAGTGGGCTGACCTGGCCTGAGGGTAGGGGAGACTCTCTCAAAGAAGTGCTATTTCAGTGGGCACCAAAGGATTGTTCCAGCTAAAGTTGGCGAGGAAGGATGTTCCTGGCAGAGGGCACAGCCGGTGCAAAGGCCCGGAGGTGGGCACAATTTAGGGTGCTGGGACAGGTAGGAGGCAGATATGGCTGGGGCAGGGGGAGATAAGGAAGGATGGAGGGAGATGGGGGTGGGGACATTGGAGGGTTTGGGCCACTGTGGGGTGCAAGGCGTGGCTTTATTTCAAGGGGGCTGTGGTAGGGTTTGAAACAGGGCAGGCAAGTGATTAGTTTATGATGCGAATGAACCTCTTTGTGGCTTCCATGGGAAATGGGGACTGTCAAGGACAGGAGTGGACGTGGGGGCAGCATCTAGTGGAGGTGCAGAGCCTGGACTAGGGTGGGGCCTAGGGTGCAAGGAAAAGGATGCATTTCGCAGACATTTTCGAGGTGGAGCTGAGGGGACCCACCACAGGATCAGCTGTGAGTGGAGGTTGGGTCAAGGAGTGGAGGTAAGGAGGCCCAGGTCCCTGGTGAATGGAAAGTACTCAGCAGTGGGCTCTGCAGTGGGAGGACCAGGTTTAGGTGGGGGGTGACATGAAGAGCCAGGCACAGCTATGTTCAAGCTTTAGGAGCACAAGGTCTCTCAGGGGGCTTTGGCAAGGCCACTGATTCAGTGTCCCCAACACATGGGTGAAGCACTTGCAGCCTCTACAATGCATGGGTAGGAGTGGCTCACAATAGGTCACCAACGATCGCTAATATCATCACTCTGGTTTTATTGCCTGTCCCCCAGACAGTGAATGCCTCAAGAACAGGGATTTTTGTCTCTTTGGTTCAGGACTGTGTTTCCCCGAAGCACAGAGGTGCTCCACTAATGCTGGGAAGCTAGGGAATGATCAATGCAAGGAATGACTGGGTGATGGAACCTGTGTGACCAGAGCTGGGAAGGGCAGCCACTCTCTGCCCCAGTCCCTGAACCCCCACCTGTCCCTGCAGCCCCACAGGCAGCAGCCGCTATGCCTCCTCAGGGGAGCTGAGCCAGGGCAGCTCGCAGCTGAGCGAGGACTTCGACCCAGATGAACAGAGCCTGCAGGGCTCCGAGCTGGAGGATGAGCGGGACCGGGACTCCTACCACTCCTGCCATAGCTCAGTCAGCTACCACAAGGACTCGCCTCGCTGGGACCAGGATGAGGATGAGCTAGATGAGGAGCTGGATGAGGAGCTGGATGAGGACTTGGAGGACTTTCTGGAGGAGGAGGAAGAGGAGCTGCCTGAGGATGAGGAAGAGCTAGAGGAGGAAGAGGAGGTGCCCGACGACATCCGTGGCTATACTGAGCGCCAGGAGGTGGCCGTGGCTGAGCCCAAGGACTTTAAGCGTATGAGCCTCCCACCCGCTGCCCCCGAGAAGGAGGACAAGGCCCCAGCCGTGTCTGCCATGGCCCCTGACGTGGCCAAGGCAGCCCCTGAACCAGCCACACCTGAGGAGGTTCCTGCAGTTGAGCAGGAGCCCAAGCCTGAGCCCCCCAAGAATGAGGAGAGGTAACGGGAAGGGTCTGAGGGGCCATCACAAGGTCATAGGGTCAGTGGTACCATGGTGATGGGGTCAGTGTAGACCTGTGGGTGGGGGCAGGTTGTCACAGGGTTATGGGTTTATTGAAGGTATCATGATGGGTCTAGAAGGTCAGAAGGGACTCAGTGGGGTGAGAGGGGTCAAATAGGATCATGAAGGAGTCTTAGTGGTTGTTGGGGGCCAGAGGGCTTGCCCGGGTTGGAGAGGTCACAAAAGCATCAGAAAAACCCTGCACAAATAAGATTACAAAGTTGCAGAGGGGCCAGGAATGTGGCAAAGGGCCTTGGGGATCCAAAACTGTCAGAAAGGTGATGAGCATGTGGGAAGGGGGTAGGGTTACTGAGGCTGGTCAGAAGGGGGCACAGGTGGGTTGTTGTGTCTCCAAAGAGCCAGGGAGGCCATGGAGAGCCCGGCATCACTTGGAGAGTGGAGGGTCTGGGGGTGCCTACCCTGGAGCCTCATGAAACCCCTTGCCTCAGTTTCAGGCCACGAGAGGATGAGGAAGGCCAGGAGGGTCAGGACTCCATGTCTAGGGCCAAGGCCAACTGGCTGCGAGCCTTCAACAAAGTGCGGCTGCAGCTGCAGGAGGTGAGTGAAAGCAGCAGTCAGCTCATCCCCAGCCTTGCCAGGGCCAACACTCCATGCCCCACTCACACTCACGCCCAGACTGGCCATGCCCATTTCCCCACTCTTTCCATGGCCCAACCCGCTCTGGTCCTTTGCTTGGCCCTGCCCATACCAGCCCCATGCCACGCCCATGGGCTGCCGGGCCACGCCCACTTCCCCATCCAACCCACCACTGTGCATGTGCCTCCATACATCCTGGTTCTTCAGTGGCTCTGCCCACACCAACCAGTTCCACAGCCTTTCCTTAGCCCCACCCACGCCTACCTGCTCTCCCCTGCAACCAGCAGGCTCCACCAACGCCCAGCCCAACCTCCCCCAGGCCAGACTGGGATTTCTAAGTGGGGAAGGAAGAGAGGTTAACTGGAATCTGGAGCTGAAATTAGCTGAGGTCATGCCTTTGGCTAAGTTCAGGGGCCAAGTTCATGGATAGGGATGGAGGTTAGGGGTAGGAATATAGGTCAGGGTTAGGGCAGCAGTCAAAGATCAGGGTCAGGGTTAGAACTGGTGTTAGGGGAAGAGGTCAGTGACTGGGGTTACACTGGGTGTCAGTGTTGGGTTGGGGAAAGGTCTGAGATCTGGTCAGTATTAGAGAAAGAATCAGGTGAAAAATAGAATTAATGTCAGGGTCAGGATGACTTAAGATGGACAACAGGAATGAGGCCATTCATTTACTCCTTCATTCATTCAGCCTGCTCTGGGCTGGGGACCAAGCAGTGTTATTAACCAGAGTGACCTTCCAAACTGGGGTGAGGCTGGCAGGAGGACATCCTAAACAGACTGCCAAAGTCTTAGACCACCAATTATCACAGCCACAGAAGTTTCAAATCAAATTGCTTATCAGTTGTACAATAGAATTTTTTTGACTAAGCAATATATTCTCATGGTTCTAAATTCAAACAGTAGAAAAGAATACACAGTGAAAATCTGTTGACTACCTTTCACCAAGTCAACAAATTAAGTGAAAAAACAGTAGCTACCCTTTTAATAGAACTAGTGACGTGACAAGAAAAATAAACACAAGTAGGATCTCTGGGTTTCATAGAAGAGACTTAAAACTAATCCAAGGCAATCAGAAAAACTCACTGGAGAAGGTGACACTTCAGGTGAAGTAATTTTCAAAATATTTCAACAATATTTCAGAAGGGAGTGCCAGACCCTTCTCCCTGACCCAGTCCCTCTATGCCATCCTTTCATTGCATAGTGGGGCGTGTTGACTCTGGGTCTACACTGAGACTTGAATGACAGATGGAGGCTGGTCGGGAGCAGAAGGTGGGAGAGCATACAAATAGGTGGCACAGCTCAGGCAAAGGCCCTGGGACATGAGATCAGATAAGCAGGTATGGCAGGGATGTAGTTTAGAGAATACTAGGATCTTATGAGTATTGAGCCAGCCCCTAAGACTCTTGGAACAGTAAAGCATGAGCTCTTGTTGGAGATGATGCTAACAAATCCCCAGGTTTGACAGACAAAGAAACCAAAGTCCACAGAGGTTGGTGGCAGAGAGTATATCCTCTCTTCTCATTTTACAGATGGAAAAACTGAGGCCCAGAGAAAGCCAGTGAGCTTTCTAAGGACACACAGTGAGGACTAGGACCCAGGCCTCCCGACTCCCAGCCTAAAGCGGAGACAGTAGTACAGCGCCTGTGCTGCCCTGGGAAGGGGCAGCCACACTGACGATATCTGTCTGTCTGTCTGTCCTGCAGGCCCGGGGAGAAGGAGAGATGTCCAAATCCTTGTGGTTCAAAGGCGGGTGAGTAACAGATCTTGGAGGGGAAGGGGAGAAAGTTTTGAACCCAGAGCCCAAGGATGGTTTGCAACCTAGCCTCAGCCCAGCCAAGGCAGAGAGAGGTTCCATTTTGACAGGGGACAGATTGTACACAGGTGAAATAATGTAGCCACTGTCCACTGTCATAAGGCACTTATAATGGGCAGGAGCCAACGACAGTGACATATTGAATCCTTACATGGGGGGTCCCCTGCCCTTCTTTTACAGATGAAGCCACTTGTATAATTCAAGACCACTTCCCCCTAGAAATAAATGTAAGATAAAGGAGAAACCCATTTCCTGTGCAATATATCTGCAATCCTGAAGTGAATTTTTTGCTTCTATTCTGCTATTAAATTTCCTGGGGGATGGAGGTGGGGAGGGTATAGCCCAGTCACAGAGCATGTGCTTAGCATGCACGAGGTCCTGGGTTCAATCCCCAGTACTTCCATTAAACACATACATGCATACATACATAAACCTAATTACTTACCCCCTCCAAAATAAGAAACCAACAACAAAAAAAGATTTTAAAAATTTTCCCAGATTATTGCTACAGTTGCTGGCATTTTCATTAACATTAATTGCTGGTCTTACATGGCACATTTTGTCATAACTAACTTGAGTTACTGATTTTCAAGATTTGGATGATGAGGTTAGAGGATGTAAAGGATATATATACACATATGTTTCTTTTGGTGGGGGAGGTAATTAGTTTGTTGTTGTTTTTTAACGGGGGTACTGGGAAATGAACGCAGGACCTCATGCATGCTGAAATATACCCTCTCCCCAGTGAAAGATATTTTTAAATTACACTACTGTTTTAAATAGCAGCCAGAGAGTGACTGCCTTCCTTTGTACATCCTTTGCAAACAGAGGCAGGGACAGGCTCTGTGACTCCCAGATGGGCAAATGTCCTGGGTAGGGAGCCCTGGAAGCGGGATCTGAGATGGGGGCCTCCTGTGCACACGATTTATGCAGGAAGCGCTCTCAGGAGAAACCTATGAGGCAGGCAAGGCCACGCAGGGGAAGCTGCCAAGCAGAGATGTAGTTCAGCAGTCACCAAGCTCCTGCCTGATCCTGTGGGTCACACTGGATCGTGAATAGCATCCAGGGCTTGTCCAGAGTCATCAGCTGCCAGGCATCATTCTCATTGGCCAATGGGAACTTTCTGGAGAGGAGCCACACCTGAACCCTCTCTGGGACGAGTGCATCTCTCAGTAAGGCGAATTTGGACAGGTCACTACTACATCTGCCACAGCCCTTATTCCAATTCTCCAGCTCCGGAAAAGCTGCCAGAAGGCAATAGCACAAATACAATTTCCACTTCCCTCCTTTCCATAGGCTTTGAAATCACTCCTCCTAGGATAGACTTTAAATATACAGATATATCTCCAGTTGTGAGCATTGAGAAATGTTTCATTGATATTTTAGTATATTATTTAGATTTGCCCTCATTCAAATTTTCATTCAATGTGGGCAACTGCATATTATTGCCCCATTTCCCAGATGAGGAAGTTGAGGTCCAGTGTCTTCAATTCTTAGGGCTGCCATAACAAACTACCACAAAAGGGGGCTTAAAACAACAGAAATGTACCCTCTCATAGTACTTGGAGGCCAGAATTCCAAAACCAAGATGTTGGCAGAGCCACACCCCCTGACACGTGTAGGGGAGAATCCTTCCTTACCTTCCTAGCTCTGATAGTTGATGGCCATCCTTGGTATTCCTTAGTTTCTGAGTCACTCCAATCTGTCTCCATTGTCACACTGCTGTCTTCTCCCTGTGTGTCTCTTATAAAGACACGGAGCCCACCATATTCTAAGATGATCTCATCTTAACGAATTACATCTGCAATTACCCTGTTTCCAAATGAGGTCATATTCTGATGTACTAAGGGGTTAGGACTTCAGTGTATCTTTTGGGGAGACAGAATTCAATCTTTAATACCTGGGGAGATCAAGTGTCCTGCCCAGGCCTTGGGTGATGTCTGTTGGAGGAAGAGGAAATTCCCTGGACCCTTGACATCCCTCTGTGTGTCTTGCAGCCCTGGTGGTGGTCTCATCATCATTGACAGCATGCCAGACATTCGCAAGAGGAAGCCTATCCCGCTTGTGAGCGACCTGGTGAGCACCTGTGCCTTTCCCCTTCCCAGCAGAGTAGGCTTGCCACCTGCAGTGTTCAACCTGTACAGTTGCCCATGGCAGACCTGGGGTTGGGGGCTAGCAAGGGATTCTCTGGAACTAATGTGATCTGATTTCTACCCTGCGTGCTGCATGGACGCTTCAGGCCATGGTGAGTGATGGAGACCCGAGCCCCTGAATCTCCTCCCCAGACTCCACCCCTCCATTGGGAGCTTCCAACTGGTCCCCAGCCCATGGGTTCTGGGGAGGGAACCTTGTCATGTCTTACAGTTCATGGGTAAGGAACAGAGCAGGTGATTCCCCACCTTGGTCCATGGTGTGGTGGATGGTTTTGCTCTATGCCTGGTGACCATGGCCAAGTGCAGCTCTCCAGTCTCGTCCACAGTGGAGGGAGATGAGTGAGTCAGAGGGGTGGGGCTGCTCACCTTCCAGGGTCTCTTCTAACCTGGAGCCTCTATCACTTCTCATCTTTTTGCTGATTCTGCTCCTGCTGCTGTGACCTCTTTCCTATTTGTGGCTGTGGCTTGAATCCGTGACTGGCGGCCTCAAACCAAACCATGCCTGTGGATTCTGCTCATGGTGACAATTCCCTGGGTGTCAATCAACCCCCCGTGACTCCTTGGTGACTTCCCTGCCCCAGTCCCTGGTCCAGTCCAGAAAAGCGGGCATCACCTCGGCCTTGGCATCCAGCACTTTGAACAACGAAGAGCTGGTGCGTGGGGCCTCCCCTTCCCCAGGTTAGGGGGTGGGCTGGGTTGGAGGCTCCTGGAGGAAGGGAAGAAGGGTGTCACAGAGACAGGCACTCCTCGCTTTCCAGAATTCGATAAGGCTGCATTCAGAGGGCACAGTCTGTGCACAGGAACAGGTGGATTCTAACTGTGGGGGAGGGGGAGGGACTGGGACTTTATCATACTCAACAAGAGGTGGGGAGTGGGTACGGGAGGCAAGCCAGTGCCCCAGGTTAGGGCCCTATGCCCATGCCGCATGCCCTCCCTTCCTGCAGAAAAACCACGTTTACAAGAAGACCCTGCAAGCCTTAATCTACCCCATCTCATGCACAACGCCGCACAACTTCGAGGTGTGGACGGCCACCACACCCACCTACTGTTACGAGTGTGAGGGGCTGCTGTGGGGCATCGCGCGGCAGGGCATGCGCTGTACCGAGTGCGGGGTCAAGTGCCACGAGAAGTGCCAGGACCTGCTCAATGCAGACTGCCTGCAGCGTGAGTCTGGGACACAAGCTGCAGCGGAGACGGAGGGGCGGGACTGTAAATAGGTAGGGGGCGGGGCAGGGACAGGGGGCCGGGCGATGGAACAGGACTCCAGGAGCCGGTGGGCAAAGGAGATGTGAGGGGGTCCTAGAAAGGTGGGGCGGGATTCAGGGAGGAGCTAAACTGTGCAAGGGACGGGCTTAACGGGAGGCTGTGGTTTCCCCGGAGGAAAATGGATTAGGGTTAGCTCTGAAGAGAGAGGGGGCTCAAGTTGGGGAGAGGAGTCAGAGAAGGGGAGGGTCTAGGAGAAAGAAGGGGCTCAGTGAGGGGCAGAGGAACTCACTCGGACATGGGGTGGGAAAGGCCTAGTAGGGAGAGGATTCAGAGAACATGCAGGAGCTCTGGCAGCTCTAGCTTTGGGGGCATGATTCATCAGAACCCCCACGACTTAAAGTGCCTGTGGCCCTGGCAGCAGATGAGGAAGCCCTGGAATGGGAATCAGGGTTATCGATCCTGGGAGGGAGCTCTCTCTGGACAGTGACAGCTGTCTGCGTCGGCAGGGGCGGCGGAGAAGAGCTCCAAGCATGGGGCGGAGGACCGAACACAGAACATCATCATGGTGCTCAAGGACCGCATGAAGATCCGGGAGCGCAACAAGCCCGAGATCTTCGAGCTCATCCAGGAGATCTTCGCAGTGACCAAGACGGCGCACACGCAGCAGATGAAGGCGGTCAAGCAAAGCGTGCTGGATGGCACGTCCAAGTGGTCGGCCAAGATCAGCATCACTGGTGAGGCCATGGGGGGCAGGGACGGGAGTGGCCATGGGGTCCCTTCTCAGTCTCCTGTGCTCCCTCCCACGAGCCTTCCTTCTTTTTGCTGAGCATATTTGATTGTATCTGTGTCTTTCCCGTGTCTACGTATATATGCATTAGTGGGTATATATGCCTCCAAACGTGTGTGCATGAAACTGTCTGGGTGCACCTTGGTTGGTAGCCCCCAGAACCAGATCCCAAGAAGAGGAGTTGAGGGCATTATGGTTTATCTGGGAGGTGACCCCTGGGTGCCACCTAGCAGCCTATGCAGTGGACACTTGGGACCACTGGGGAACAAAACCAAGCTCCCAGGGAAGAGAGATCCTACCAAGGGGCCGGGGCTTTGTGGTGTTTATCCATTCCTCATCCTCACTGAGATTTCCCTGAAAACAGACCCCAAGATGCAGATTTCAGGGCAGATAGGTACCCAGAAGTGGTCCCAGGAAGCCCCCCCTGGGAGGAAGAGACATGCATTTGGGAGCAGAGAGGGAAAGAGCCTTGCAGAGGAGGCCAGTGAGCAGGTTACACCCTGGGCAACTGGGGGCTCAATCCTGCTGGGGACCTTAGGGGACAGTGTAGAGCACACACTTGAGAGTGTCCCACCCTAGGGATGACCCTGGGGCACCTTTGTATTCTTCACCAGATGAGGGTTCCCTAGGTGGTAACTCTAGCCAGCCCAGTGGGTGTGCCCTCAGGCTCCTGTGGCTAGAACCAAGCCCTCAGTCTTGTCCAAGGTGTCCACTGCAGGCAGCCAGGAGCCTGTGGCAGTGCCTGTTCTTGGCATGCCTTGCTCCGTGAGCCCACATCTGTATTTGTCTTGTGTGTCTTCCAGTGGTCTGTGCCCAGGGTTTGCAAGCAAAGGACAAGACGGGATCCAGTGACCCCTATGTCACCGTCCAGGTTGGGAAGACCAAGAAACGGACAAAAACCATCTATGGAAACCTGAACCCTGTGTGGGAGGAGAACTTCCACTTGTAAGTGTCTGACTGGACCCCCAGCCGCCCATGTGGAGCTGCTTGTTGGGGCAGCTGAAAGGGGGGCTTCAAGACTAGCCTGTGCCAGCCTGACCCCGGCCTCCACCTTCTCTTCCCCCCTGCAGTGAATGTCACAACTCCTCGGACCGAATCAAGGTGCGCGTCTGGGATGAGGACGATGACATCAAATCTCGTGTGAAGCAGCGGTTCAAGAGGGAATCTGATGACTTCCTGGGGCAGACGATCATCGAGGTGCGGACACTCAGTGGCGAAATGGACGTGTGGTACAACCTGGGTGAGCAAGTGTGGGGTTCTGCAGGGAGGAGGGGAGGGGGCCCCGGGGAGTCAGCCAAAGGGGAGAGCTCAGCTAAAGGGGAGAGACACAGTGTCAGGAGGGGTCAGTCTAGGAGCCCAGTCTAATGGAGGACGCAGAGTCTGTGGGCCTCAGTCTAACGAGGGAGGCAGAGTCTGAGTCCAGTCTGACAGGGGCAGGAAGCATGCAGACTGAGAGAGTGAGCAGAACCCAGGGACCTCTTTGTTCAGTTTGGGAGAGTGAGGGAAGGACAGAATCTCCATATTCCATTCTGATGGAGGAGGGAGGATATTAGTCTAAGGGGAGAGGCATAGACCCAGGAATCCAACCTAAGAGGAAGATTGAACTTTGAGAATCTAGCGTAAGAGGGGAGGTACAGATTGGAATTCTTAATCTGAGAGGGCAGCTATAGACCAAAGGACCCTCTCTAAGAAGATGAGTAGCATCCGTGAGCCCAATCTGATGGGGGAGGAGGGATCTGTGAGCTCAATCTAAAGGCATAGGGAGAACCCAGTCTCAAAGGGATGAGACGCGTCCAGAAAATTCTTATTTGGTTAGAGGAAATCTAGATATCCCATTCTGATGGGGGAAGCAAGAAGCAAGACGCAGGGATCCCAGTCTGAGGAAAGAGGCACAGCCCCAGGAATCCTGAAAAGTTAAGTAGATTCTAAGGAGCTTGATCTGATGAGGAAGGCAGGGCCTGGGAGCACAGCCTGAGGGAGAAGCAAGGCATAGGGCTCCTAGTCTACAGAGGGAGACACAGACCAGGAATCTACTCTGAGTGAGGAAGTGAGGTCTGGGATCCTAGTTACAAGGGAGAGACAGGACCTAAGGATCCTAGTCCAGTGGGAGAAACACAAGTCTAGGGAGCCAGTCTGAGGAGGAACATGTAGGCCCTAATTCAGGGAGTCTGGGAGGGCTACAGTCATGCATATGCTAACATAACCTGGGGCTATATTGGGAAGTTCTGACACTGTCATCCCTTCCTGCCCTGCAGACAAGAGGACTGACAAATCTGCTGTGTCAGGGGCCATCCGGCTACACATCAGTGTGGAGATCAAAGGCGAGGAGAAGGTGGCCCCCTACCATGTCCAGTATACCTGTCTGCATGAGGTGAGGCTTACTGATCCACCCTGCCTTCGAAGCTCATCTTCGTCTCCCACGTTGTTTCCACCTACCATTCCTGCCTGCCCTAACTCCTTTCTCTTTCTAACCACACTGTCCACACTCCCCTGGGCCTCTGAGACTGTGCCCTATGCCATTCTCTCTGCTCAGAAAATTCCTCACCATCAATCAGGGTCCAGCTTCAGGGTTCCTTCCTCTGGGAAGCTCTCTCTGACCTCCAGGCAGACTCTCACTATCGAGCTCCAGATCTTCCATATGTCCCAGCACTAAATGCTAAGGGTTGGGTTGTTTGTGCCTGGGTTTGTCTCTTCCACCCACCTGGGGGCTCCTGGAGAGAAATCAGTTTGCTGAATGAATAAATGATTGAATGGATGAGTGAGTATTGAATGGATAAAAGAATGGGTGGACAGATGGAAAGATAGGTGAATAGATGTGTGGTTGAACTATTGGAAGTACAGATGTATTGGATGGGTGAATTTTGGGGTAGTTGGATAGATGGATGGGTGAATAGATGGATCGACAGATAGATGATGGTTGGAAGGATGGGTGGATGG